TGTCTAATTATATAATGTGACAGAACTCAGGTGCACGAGCCATAAATCAATGTATTTTGTTTATGGTGTAAAGCATGATAGGTGTTAAGTTCAAATTGCATGTAGTCAATGATTGAAGTTGTGTATTGCATATTGTGAGTAGCAGACAGGCAGGCAGACACATAGGTGTCAATAAAACAGACATTGAGTTTTGTCTGTGACAGAGACTGCTTATCACAATCAACATATTTTTCTATGTTTCTATAAACATGTATTAAAACATTTCATTTTTCAAGCTGAGCAATTTTTAACAATGAAATTAGTATTTCTAATGCTACACTTTCTTGAAAACCTAGCTTGCAAATCTGCCAACCCCCAAAAAGCAAGACGTGAAAACATATAAGAAAAAGTGTGGGACCAGTGTATTTTTATTACTGCAGACCGCAGATGCTGGTAATCACAAGAAACATCCTTTGTTCTCCAACTTCGACCACAGCGATATTCCTTGCACGCATCACTTGCTGTGTTTTTACGAATCGCCATGCCGGTTCAAGCCGCGCGAACTTAATCACTGCGCATGCGCTATGGGCGCAGCGCAGCACAGCTGTTGAAACCACTTTTCACCCCAGCGCCTTGGGTGAAATAAGTGAATCGTTTGAACTGCGATTTCGCGGGGTGTTTTTTCATCACGTTATGTTTCAACTTTATAAGTTGAAATTGCAATTTGATAATTTGTTACTGTACGTCCATACCGAAAGCTGATCAGAATCTGCAAAGTTGTGTTTTGCGTTGCATGTGACCTTTAAAGGAATCATTAGCAAAGCACTATCCAAAATTGCACATATGTGGGTAATGTGGTTAACGAGATATTAGTAATCACAACATATTGGGGTATAATATTAAAAAACAATAGCAGAAAATGCAAAACGATCAGTCATTTTGTACCTCTTGGATAATGGTATGCCCTCAGATAACATCATATCAGATATGTTCAGTATAGTATTGGATGACTTCCCGTCATAATCAACATTAAAATATTTTGATAGCTTAACTATAGACGGTGTTGCTTTTAAAGGACACACCCATTTTAATCTTTCAAAAACGTTGTGTGCAGAAGTTGAAGCTCGCACTGGTTACAATATATATTGTGCTGACACTTGTGTGACCATTCAGTATTTAGTTTGAACCCTTCGCATCATGCATAAATAAGTGAAAACATTAGAATATGTTATGTCCTTATGATTACGTCATCTGAAAGGGGTTGGGTAGTGTCTCCAAAACAAGGCCTTTCAGTAAACATGAAGGGGGAAGTCACTTTAACAAGCGATTGTAGTTTGGAATTGCATTTTTATGCACTTTGATATCTGCGTTTGATTCTAAATGACTTCTGCCTATCTCAGACACACAAAATATTTCTTTTATATTTTGTTTCCTGTAGTTTGTGATGCATGTATTTCAGATTTTGCGTTTTGGTTTTGGGGATACCAAGATAAAAGCCAAACTAAACGGGGATCGTGTGGCGGGATCATGGCAAAAGCAATTTGCTTTGAGGTTGACAGACGATATGTAGAAAAAATAAAACAGCATAAAAACAGCTGCATTTGTATAATGTTCTAGGTGAAGCCGACGTCTTTTTGAACGCCCCTCGCATAGCAGTACCACCTGCGGGTTGGTTAGATTTATTGCCGTCGTTTTACGCTTGAAACAGTCTTACAGTTTAAGTTATGCTTTCTTTAAAGAAAAGACAACCTTTCCAGGATATTACATTCACTGTACGTATTTTTAGTTAAAGAAGCTTGTATGTGATGGCTATTGTATGGATGTATTTCATCACAGTTTGTAACTTTGCAGAGTGTGTGAATCTATTCTTGTGTTATTTGTGTATATTTGTTTGGTTACAAAAGACTATATCGTTGCCTGTTTGTCTGTGGGTAAACAGTGGATCACATGCTATTCTCACCAATATAGTACACACTTAGTAGTAGGATTCAACTCATATGTTTTTCAATATATTTCAGTTTTTGCCTTGTTTTGACCATGCTCATAAGTTTTGATATTGCATATTTACCTATTTAATGTCTTCTCTGAAATTAGAATTAGGTGTGGAAGCGTATGAGAGACACAGTGTAAACATTTTCATCTACGTACTAGATGCACATGTACGAAGAGTGTACTATATGATATTAGGATCAAACGTATCATCATTACTCAGACAGTAATATTGTGTTACGAAGTTGCCCCCCCTAGTTGGATACTAATTTATACAAACATTTATATTTTAAATAAAGGTGACTACTACATTACTGTTAATTCAATTAAATGTTTGGAAGCATGTTGGTCATTTCTGCCCATTTTGCCTTTTCAATTATTTACAACATACAGAGGTTAATTCAAATTGTCAAACAATCAGCGCAAATATAAAACTATAGAATTGTACCCTCAGTGCTTTATAGAATTGGTTTCGTACATTTTAAGTTTGAGGGATTCCCACCTTCATATATTGACGATGTACCTAAAAAACTAATTTCCGGAATAGAAAAAGTATAAGAGTCAATATATTCCAGTAATTTTCTGCGACTTAAATCAGGTTATGTGTGATATATATTTTGTAATAATAACGTATAGTTGTTTGTAGTTTGAAGATTTTGTACTCTCCTCTCTTTATTACGGCTACAAGGGAATGTGGTGAGTGTGATGCATATGCAACTTGGCCACATTGAAATTCAGATTTGCTTTATCTAATATTAAGATAGTATATCAATAGACATGTCAAGGTAGAAAGTAACAAAAATCGTGATTATTGATTAAGTCATTATTAATTGGAGAAAATATTGTTACATTGTTATATTGTTAGTGGATAATTCACTAGTGGGTGATATTTTAAACATCATACAATAAATATTCTACGTAGATGAAAGTAATATCTACGTAGCTATAAGTATTATCACCGTTGGAAATATTTATAGGGTGTGGCATTAATACGCTCCCATAGTTTTGGCATCAGTATATGTGCAGAAATTATTCGACTTCCAAAGCTGCAGCAACTTTTAGTAACATATATGTTCTATCTGGGATTACACTTTCTTGGTGAAATACTTTTGTTGGGTTGAGAGGGTTAAGCGGCTGACTTTGTGTGCTGGCGATTGGGTGCGTGAATATGAGAGACTCAACCCAACCAAAGTACTAGAATCTGTAGACTTTACCGAGAAAGTGTAATGCCAAATATAACAGGTTACATTTGGCCACTTTCTATGTGGCATTGTGTAATCATAGCTTTTTAGTACGTTTCTGTATTTATTGACATTTTCGTTGTTGAATCACAAACATGTATTTTGCCATTGTTGGCTCTTCTGTATTAGCGTTTAGTCATCATTACCAAAACTAACAAACACCAAAGTGACCAGCTTGGTGGAGCCAACTTTTATTTATTTCATGATAGTCATTAATTGTGATTAACATGAAGCCGCATATTTTTATACTGCAATGGGATGTAGTCAGCATATGGTCTGTTTGTCTCTCCGGCTGTACGTGAGTCCGTATTTCGTTTCCATAACAGTTGAAAACTGTGATAGTCTTGCGTACAGACAGACATATTTGTGAGAAAATATCTCATCACGTTGATAGTCAGTTGATTTGTTCCTTCGACTTTGTAGGGGCCAGTAATTTGTCGTATTGTGATGACCATTTCACAGTATCAATGATAGAACGTCCATTAATTGTGCAACTACAGAGTTATATTTTTTCATTTTGATTCCACAAACTTCTGCATAACTCCACACATATGTAAGTCCTGATGGCAATTAACAGAAGTGGTTTACTGGGGTAATGTGGCAGTCAGATTGTGAAACAAGTCTAAACATTCTTGGCTGTTCGAAGGTGGACTCAGCGCATTTGTGCTGACAATTTCGTCGCACAGAGTCTTGAACTCATTGGATACACCTTTTGGAAGAGGGCGTGTGCAGCACTGCCACATGTCGGCTACGTCCACAGGGGACACAGGGAACTTGTAATCACGGGTGCCTACGATGAATGGAAGATAAATACTCATTATGACGGGTATACATTCAAATAAAACTGTGTTCTTATTTATATGGATATAGTGTTCTGTTTTTATTTTCTTAAAAACAAAAATCGAAACACTTTATACTGAAGAAGTTTCTTCTAAAGATGCTTTGGTCATTAATATGATCCTGAACCAATATCATGAAGAACACGTGCTCAATGTAAATATATGGTAATGTTGTTTCACACATGCCATTATAGTGGAATATATATGTTACTGCGCAACGAAAATAATGCCAGCACGAGTACCGAAACAGAAAAAAACCCGATAATACGACTGCTAGCAGGATAAAAAACACATCGCTGATGACTATTATGGTAAACACTTCCTCACTTCCGTAATCTCACATCTCGCTAATAGAGTTTAGCGACTTGGATTGCGAAATGCACAATAACAATGTTGCATCATATTAATCATATTTCCCGATAGCCTTAAAAATGGATATAAAAACACTTCAAGGTCAATGTTTAAATGGTTGATGTACACCGTGCATTACAAGTACAAGATTTAAGTTTACAAGTTGTATGTGCTGTGACCATCAGACCACAGTATGGCCTCAACCTCTCCTCAAACGTACCAAACATTTCTGGTATACTGTACATCAAATCTGGCCTCCCATTCAGCTGACTGGTCACACGCCTCGGCAAATGTGTATTCCACTCGTCCCTTATTCTGTTTAGATCAGCTTGTATCACATCCATACAGCTGTATCGGAGACAGTGCCTTGCAAAACAGAATCAATACAATAAAATGTTTGTATGTGGAACTAAGGTACAGGGCATTGTTATGAATAGTTTAATTCTCACTGATCTATAAGGATCAACCACACTGTGTTTATATCCATTCTACCATGTCTGTAGAACTCTGTATCCCTAAAACAAAGCTTCTTTGCACAAACATGTTTTGTTCACATCGTAAAATCCCACTCGCAAATATGACAGGCATAAAACGTGTGCATCTAAGCTACAAAGGTGAAGCAACAAAAACCTGAGCAAGCCTTGCAATGTTTCGTTCTTCACCACGCATAACTATTATGACGTGATACAACTCATTGTAACGCAGAAAATATAACGTGATATTTGGCTATAGAAAAGCGATAAATTCCAAGTTCTCTGTGGTTCTAAAAACTATATATATCTTGCATCCACACATAAATGTTCTATTATTTTCAATGTACCCCGCTTACAAGGGAGTAACAGTTTCTATGTACCCTGCTGGGAATGCCGAACTCATCTGGTACATCGTAGTAGTAATTCTTTCTCTCGAATTACATTGAATCGTGTATGAATATTGTACGGAAATTACCGATGTTTTGCGAATGCAAATCGATGGAAGGGAGATAACTCTAAATTTGTTTTTTTTGTCTGGTACTTCATTCTATGATCCGATACCCGTGCTTCAAACAGTTCAAAATAACCATTGAGGTGTTCGGTAAGATAAACACTTTGTTCACTGGTACCTAGGGGCCCATGGGTTGATGTACCCTCGATGTTTCTTTATGTTCCCCTCGCCCTTCGGGCTCAGGGAACATAAACAAATGTGGTGATCACAGCAAACACTACGATATCAAATCACGAATGGAGTAAGCCGCGGATCGCACTTTGTAGTATTTAGGCCAAAATCTAAAATATATGGTAGACCCCTGATTCAGGCAGGTAATACTTACAAAATGGCTTCCACGGACGCGCTGTGGCAATAAGCTGTCTCCGGCACCTTCCGTCTCCAGGCGCGAAGCAAGCCAATTTATTTCGTGTAAGCCCGATAGGTTGCAAAGCTTTATATGATAATATTCAGGACTTGTCCAACCTTATTAGCAACAATCATGTGTAAGCCCGGGCTTATTTTTGTAATAGTAGCTACGTCACTGGTCTCGGGTAATGGCCTTCAACTTTAGGGTTGGCGACCCCAATCACCACACAAACATCGGGGGTACATCAGCCCATGTCCCCTCGAGACCAGTGAACAACTTTACAATATGTATTTACAATCACTTAGTCGATATCCATCTTCTTTCTGTTTACGAAAGAAGTACTTTTCTGAATATTATTGTCCGCGGGTTTGTGGCCTATAAAGAGGTGTAACTGTGATTTGAAATCTCTCACTGACCACTCAGAATCGAATAATTTCTAAATTCCTCGTACAATTAGCATTTGGCATTATGTACCAAACTATTATCACAGATGCCAAGGCTTCACGTCTAGAGAGAGATTGAATATGTTTAACGCCGTGTTTCCAAACAGTATTAAAGTTATATCACGTGTGTCAGCTTCATGAACTTAAACAGATTACACAAAAGGAAGTGGCTAAACACTCCCCAGATTCATACTTACTTCTTCATATCTATGTCATACTAATCAGCTTGAAAACATTGGTATTTACCTAAATATCACTAGATACGCTTAGTGTAATAATAGGTAATCCAGTGAATGACTCGTGCGCACTGGGTTCAATTAATCCAAATGATTTCTTGGAGTGAATACATGATGTTGTATGATTTACGTTAGAATACTTTGTACATACCTTTCAAATTCATCAGAAAAAATTTTATTGCATTTGTGTTTTGTAAATCTTTGAATAAGTCTATCCAGAAAGCAATGCCACCTTCCTTCATGGATCTCCACCATCTTTCTATCCTCTGTAATGAGTAAAGGTAGTTATCAGTACTTCAGGCTTGTGCCTTAAACGGTTTGTTTATGTCATTCCAGAACTCTAAGGAAGATATTCAGAAGAATTTACTTTAATTAATATGACACGTCGCTTGGCAACATGGTTACACCTAGACACGGAGTTATGACATCACCGCACTGACTGGCAATAACGACTTAACGTTTGTTTGTTTGTTGTTTAACGCCGCACTCAGCAATATCCCAGCTATATGACAGCGGTCTGTAAATAATCGAGTGTGGACCAGACAATCCAGTGCTTGACACAATGGGCATCAATCCACCCAATTGGGATACGATGACAAACATCAAGCAAGTGAGCGAGTCTGACACCCGATCCCGTTAGTCGCCAAACACGACAAGCATGACTTCTTAATGAAGTTCGGGCGGTACGGTTCCCTAGTGGTTATAGCGTTCGCTCGTGACACCGAAGACCCTGGTTCGATTCCCCATGTGGGTACAATATGTGAAGCCCCTTTCTGGTGTCCCCCGCCGTGATATCGCTCGAAATATTGCTAAAAGCGGCTTAAAACTAAACTCACTCACTCACTCTTAATGACGTGGTGTGAACGTGGATAGCTACTGGTACAGCAGGATATCATTGGATTGATCTTCGGTCATAATCTTATAAGCTCCAGCTCTTCACTGTCTTGTACGTTCTGTGGACTAACCCAGGGACGTTTTGAATTATGCATGTTTTAGGAACACATGAACGAAAAGTGTGTTTTGAGCATAACTGATTCATGTTTCACAAATGGTGAATATTGCGAAATTGTTTTGATATGGTTTTCTTACTTGGTTTGAATTAGAACTTGCAATTATGACACAATTTTCCCCTGCCATTTCATCTGTGTGGTACCATCTGAATGCCTTCTGCATGTCCTCAATAACACCGTTTTCAGTCCCAGCGTCCATTCTGATACATCGTGGGACACCTACATGATAACTCAGATATAGTGTTACCTATTATTATTATTATTATTATATAGGCTATTTATATAGCATATACCTACATTACTTGTTTCACGACTGTAATGATATATGAAACATGATATATGAAACACCTTCATCGCGATATGATGAAGTATAGTATGACCAGAAATTATTGAGAATTTTAGGAATATGTTTAATTGGATTCTAGTACAAAGAACCTTGACCAGCTATCAAGTGCTTGGGTTCATTCAAGAGAGACAACTCCGTTAATCATTTTTCATTAGTTTGTGAAGAGTTACCCCCCTTTTAAGGGCATCATCATGGTGATTTGACAAAATACTAACTGTTCACCTGTCTTTAAATCTGGAGTTATGTTCTGCTAATATTCATATTTAAAACGTGAGTGACGAGTGAAATTTTTTAAAAATTACAATCTTCAAATTCTCAATAATTTCTGGTTGTACTGTAACTAACCTATCTATAACAAATGATTTATGTGATCTGACCTTTATGTGATCTTGACATGAGTACAAGCCAGATGACGAATCACATCTTGACATACAGATACTCTAATACAGACACATGAAACAGGATTGTAACGCCTGAAAATGTTCCACTTCATCAATAACACATCATAAAGTAAGAAACTTTCCTAATGTTCTGGTGACATGCACCTTAAAGGGAAACATATACATTGACAATGTAAATAAAGACAACCGTTGAATGTTCCCATATATTCTGCACAATTACTGATGCTTATGAAGAATACTTACCTTTCACCGTTTCAATATAATTCAGAAAGTAAGAGGCAACAACGTATGGATTGTTGTTCGTGTTAGACACTTCCAGCCACAATATTCTCCTGGAGAATCTGAAAAAGCTCAACGAATATAATACTGACAATATATATATAGCGTGTGTGTGTCTGTGTGTTTGTGTGTGTGTGTGTCTGTCTGTCTCTCTCTCTGTCTCTATGTGTGTGTGTGAGAGAGAGAGAGAGAGAGATAGAGAGATTAACCGCCAAAGTATGCGTTTCTTTGCGTGCGGCTTGCGGTTTAGGAAATGACTACTAGAGTATTCTCAAAACGACAACTACATGACAATGATCTCCAATGGATCTACTCTTCTAGAATGGACTTGAATAGAAAGCATTGATTTAGGTACCGGAGTTTCTTTACCCGCATATGGCTCCGTGAATTGCAAAACCAAATGGTTTTAATTTATCATAGCCGTCGATATGGACGAGATAATTGGGTCCTTTGTTAGTGTAGACACGCCTTGATAGTCGATGGCGAGATCTCATCTCCACACCTTCTGGGTCTAACTCACGCTGAAGCTGGAGGACTGTATCTCTGAAAGTTTATTTAAAGATTTAAGGTTTGGGAGAAAGTTATGTTAAAAAAAAGAACAATTTCCACCTCATGTATAATATAACCAACACATCTTTACTGCCTCCGTGATGTAGGAGGGTGAAAGGTAGAGGGTTTCATACCCTGGCCGTGCATAAACGCTTTTGTTCTAAAAAGCTAAAAGTGCGGGCACGTGATACCCGAATTAGCTTGGAGCAGTCGTGTAATGCTTAGCATTCATAGCACTTGAGTGTTGGGAGAAAGATAACCTTGGTACGCGCAATACCAAACACCGTTGAGACTAAGACAAGGGAGATACAGCTCGTGACAGATTGGACCCTTTCTTTTGACGAGACCTCGGGCAGGATGTTGACTATTTTATATCTTTTCTTTTGATTACGACTCCCAACCAGAATGGCTAAGAGGCCTTTCGCAAGTGTCCATACCTCGGGCATATAACTACAAACTATTCAATTTAACCGAAATAATTTGATAATGGTCCCGTCATATTTGGCAAGTTCAGCAGCTTCATATGCCCCAAACATTTTGTTCTCCGACTTTGTTGACTGGTAGCCAAACTGGATTCCAAGTTTGCAAGTTTATTTTCTACAGTTTCCTGGTAATGGGTCAAGAAATCGACCAGCGAAACAGTATTGTCACAATTTGTGTGGCGGCCATATTATTCCACTTATGGTGAATCTTAAAGTCAGATTACTTTGGATTATCCTTAAGTTAGGAATAGAAAGGGGCGGTGGGGTAGCCTAGTGGTTAAAGCGTCCGCTCGTCACGCCGAAGACCCAAGTTCGAATCCCTACATGGGTACAATGTGTGAAGCCCATGTGTCCCTCGCCGTGATATTGCTCGAATATTGCTAAAAGCGGCGTAAAGCCAAACTCACTCACTCACTCTCTCACTCACTCGGAATAGGAAACTCTTCTACGACAATACTTTAATTTCTAAACTTTCAATATTTTTTCATACATATTATTTCAGTACTTCAGCACTGCACCCATGTGGAGAATTCAATACGGGCCATCAGCGAACACTTTAACCACTAAGCTACCTACACCCCAAATACAATATAAAGTAACATTAGGATTTCATACACAAGATATATTCGCCAAATATCAAGTCAGTATACAACACTAGTTGAAGAAAGGTTTTGATAATGAAGTGAAAATAATGACCAAGCCTAAATGCCATTCATTTTTGCGGTTGACCCTCTTCATGTGTTTGTAGTTTCTTCACAACCCAATGCCCCCCTCCCCGAAAAGACCAATGCAAAAGCACATGATATTTTATTATAAAACATCCATTTTCCTTAACCCTCCCTAGAGAGTGCCATATTCACTTATTCCAATAAAGACATTTATGCTATGATTTTATATATAAATTCATGGTGATTATCAATAATACCCCTTGTGATGCAGTGTTGTGGAAAGCGTTTTGCATAGATTTAAATATTAGTATAAACCAGATCAGGCAGGTTAACTGGTTTCATTATCTATCTCAAGTTCTATGTGGGAAAATCAGTGGAAGGGACATGATCGTTATTAAACGATATCGATATCGGGTAGTTGATGTACCTGAGATTTATGTTTAACTTCTTGTGCAATTTCAAGGTATTCCAAATTCAAGTTTTAACATTTTGCTGCATACCTTGGTACTGATAGGCCATACGACGACTGCAGCCGCGACCGCATTGACCTACATCCGAGATACGCACCACTGCCATTTAGTTCTTCCTGCAACAATGAAAAGTAACTGTAAAACGATGTACTTGATGTGACAGCACTGATAAAAATATTGTTTCTTAATTAGTTCAGTTTTATAATATTTCAAATAGAAACTTGAATGCGGAACTCACATGGATACAATTACCTGTGTCTTACTGATTTCAGGACCGTTAACACGACTGCGTGCGACCTTTATACCATGTTTCATTCACATTGTGAAAACAGATGATATAGTATCATAATGTAAAGAAATAATTATGCAATGTATAAATAGAATATTGGCGGTAAATGTACCTGTACTGCTCGCCGGACCACTTGGATATTTGAAGCACCACGACGACGTAAATTCATTCTTCTTAACAGTCGCTTCAGTTGACGAATACTGTGAGGAATGATACTTATTTTTCATAACTGTCATTTACTTACGATATGCAACAATGCAATCAGTAACTGTTTACAACATGACATACAATACCATAAACGCAATTTATGTGAAGATATGTAAAAACAACGAATAAAGATATACCTCAATTGTAGATGAAATATGAACAAGGAAAAGTGATGGTTCAATTTGGTTGATACCAATATTGAAACACTCACCTAATATTGTACAAAACTGTTTGTTACTACAGATATGCACACAAATATCAAAGGGAATGTAACACAACATATGTAATAATTCATGTAACATTTATGAATACCGTTCTTTTTTTAAATATTCATGATATGTTTATATGCAGATATTTCTGCTTACACTTTATATTATTAACTTGATGACATTCATAAGGAATACGAACCCGATGGAGAAACTGTGTCTTACATCTAGAACTATGCGTATCTCTTCATAGCTCAATCCATTAAAAAAGTATTGACGAATTAAATCATCTCCTGAAAGCCGTTAAGTGAAGCAGACTGCGAGAGAAGAAAACATAAGACGGGTTATACTAGTTAAGTATATAGAGAATACTACACGAGGTCTCATTACATACGAATTATACGAACGAGTGTCCTTCCTATGGTATCTGACCGAGCAAAAAGCGAGGTCAGATAATATAGGAAGGTGACCAGTTTCATATAATTCCTATGTAATGAGACCGAGTGTGGTATTTTATTTATGACCCACGTCTTACATGCATTAAATTGACAAAATAGCGTATTTTTGTTAATATTTTGGTTTCCAACCGAAACCGGTTTCATAAAGAGGTTGCGGAAGAGTTTTGTACTGTAGTACAATATTTGCATGACGTCACACTGTAATGACGTCACTTCCTTTGGTAACCGACGTCACGATGCATGTCAGTTGTCATCGCCTCGTACAGCCTCGTACAGTAAACTACTCCGTAGCACCCTATTTCTTGGTTTACAGTTGCTTCATTCGGCTAACATCACTGGTGGAAAAAATTTCGACGGATATAATGTCTCAGTTCGACTCACAATTAAACAGCGACACGGCAACGTTCGCAATGTTTACATTCCCACAATGCATTTAAGTTATATAATGAATGAATTCACGTGTTTGTTATGAATGAAAAATAGTTACGTCAGAATGTGACCTAATTGAGAGGTCATCGGTTATCCAATCAAATCGTTAGAATCTGAGGTCAAGTCGTTACGACAGAGGTCAACGCGATACGACAGTCGTGTGACGTACGAGATTAGTATGCAACTACCCATACGTTGACCACGTGGGTAATAAACCATGATATCATGGACTTACCAGATGATTTGAAGCGAATCAGTAAGGCGTCACACATTTTGAAAACTAGATGTATTTATATTTTCATGGTTATATTCCATTAAAACATATTTTATGATAATAACATATAGATCTACTGGAATAAAAGATGGTTCTGCCTCAGTTGTGTCGCATCTACCGACTATAAAGTTCTAAGGCTTAACATGCCTGCTTTATCTTCACTGTGGCTGATTGTGTGTGAGAAAAAGGATACTACTTGTAGGTGGAGCTCCACTTGAACCCAAAGTAGCCATTTGCAGCAACCTACGTGAAAAGAGCATTGTACAGAGATCGAACATAAATAACTTCTAATGTTATATGCGTGAAAGCACAAATGTAAACCAAAAGTCACTGCGTTCTTTAATGTGGTTTGTTGAAAACATGATCGAATGGTACTAGTATTCGATTCCCGGAAATTGCAAGACTATTCGCTGCGTATTAACACGTACAAATATAGCACACAATAATTATTATTGTATTGTAGCGAAGTAAGCAGTGGTGGGGTGACTAAAATCATATTGTGACGTTAAGTCGGAATAACGTCACAAATGAGCAGTTCAAGACGCTACCATGGGACCATCTGAAACGGCCAGCTGAGGACACTTCACTGTACCGTACTCGGTGTGCCATGTGGGCCTTTTGGTTTACTTTTGTGTTTACAATGTTGATAATTCTAAGATGCTTCGGTGAAAAATCAAAGGCGTCGACAGTACTTTATAAGACGATAATGTGCACTGTTTGCATTACGTCACAATGTATTGGCGTCACTGCGCAATTCTAGTACTCGTATGCCCCTCGTAATAGAACACTTCTGCATTACATCACAGTTTGCAGTTGCTTCACTCAGCTAACATCACTGGTGGAAACATTACGTTTATGTTTTCCGACAGATAACATGTGTCAGTTCGACTCACAATTTTACAGCGATACGGAAACGTTCGCAATGTTTACATTCCCATCATGCAATCGTGGAATGTCAGCAAGCGTCCTCGTGCTTTAACTATAATAGTTCAGGGCGAAAGTGTGCTTTATTACACTATACATGGTGGTAGAGCGAACTGTATTTTAAATATCGTGTGTTGGCCAGTTTCCGGGTGTTATTGATTACTCACTCACCCAATCACTGCATGTAAAATGCAATTAATCCTTTCAATATACTGTCAATAAATACGTTTGTGTTGCGACAAATAGAGATTAAGTAAAATGAAAAGCAGATCCCGGTATGTACATAGTAGCACATTTGCTGACAGGGCTCTTTGGGATTACAGAACACGTCCCAAATAACCTATGCTGGTGGTAATAGGCGACTAAAGGGATCGGGTGGTCTGGCTAGGTTATTTTGTTGAAGGCCTGAAAAGTGGCTAAAGACAAAAGGACATGCTCCGTGGTGAACTGCCAGAGCGACCGCCCGAAGAACGGAAGGGTTCGATCCCCGACCAGCGTCATACCAAAAGATGTTAAAAGAGAGATGGTCGTTTTACCTTGTACAAACGTTCAGTGCGCTCAGATAGGCTCTACCGTCTGTCAATTCCTCACCACAACTTCAAAGCTTTGGTGATAAGTCGTTCTGTTTACATGCCCCAAGACTCCGGAGTGAGTGAGTGATTTAAGATTTTAAGTCGCATGGGCAATATTTCAGCCATATAGTGACTAAATCAAGTTATAAATATATTAACAATTGAAGGTAAAGAGTGTGAGTTGAGTTTTACGCCGCACTCAGCAATATTCCAGCTATATGGCGGCTGAAGGTAAAGAATAAAATTCTGTCAGCGAAGGACTTTAAAACAACTAGATTATCACAAATATAAATATAAAAACTAGTAATCAAATCTAAAATATTTTAACTATACATGACAATACAATATAAAAACAGGCTATTGATTCCCAACAACTGAAGGTAGATCACCATACTAGGGACCATACTAATCTTGCCAATCACATTGCTGTCAAAAGGGACCGAAAATTCAATGATATAAATAAATTCATTGGCTTTATCAAACAGAACAAGATCAAGTTTGTTAGCTGGAATTCTTCTGAGGCTGTATACGGGCCTATTGCACAGAAGTTTGAAGCATCATTTCCATGACGCCCTGGACATGTTCAGGGTCGTACCATAGATGGACCTCGGAGTCAAAGCCACAGACGTGGCGGAGATGGTAGTAAAAGCAACAAGCTTAAGCCATGCCATCATGTGTTTTAAGATATGCTGTTTGTGCCAAAGAAGGGCATCCACTGAGAAGTTGTTGGACAGTGTCAGTAAATTCATTGCACAGTAGGCATTTCATGTTAATATTTTATTTAAGAATCACATTTTGGCGATTGCGTGTGGGAAGTGACTGGTCCTGAGCAGAAAAAAGAAAGCCCTCAGTTTCACATTTAAGACCAGCTGACTTCATACAGGCGAAAGAGTCGGTGGGATTGCTATTCTGTTCCACACACTGCATGTACACACGATGCAATGGCTTCTCAGAAAGCCTCTCCACAAAAGACCGACTCTGGGCAGACTTGGTGAAGGACTTCACCTGGTTTACTCCCCATAGCTGTACCGTCGAGCAGGACATCGCCATCAACAAAATCAACATCAAATTTTAGATTCTGTCCAACAACCTTGGCACGCTTTATTACTATTATTATTTTTATCCTGCCTGGCGCTCGACATTATGGCTATAAAACAAGGACTGGTGGGCTCAGATTCAGTATACTATGTCTGAGTGTGATATTCATATTAAACCTGCGGCATGGTATCTCAGTGAGCTAGCACTATAAAATAATATTAAATAGGCAATAGACCGGACTAGTACCTGCAGGAACACACGTGCCTGCACGTAGCTATAGAAGTGCAATTATCATGTACGCGACTTTCCATCCCATTTCACCTACAGACAAACCGTTGTTTATGGTGTTGTGGCATAAGATGTTAGTAACAATACCTCTGACGTTCAGGCGAATGGATTATGTAAAGCCGCCTACAGTTGGACATGTGCTAAATGTAGAGCTAGAAACAAGATACCTACTGTAGGTGTTCCACTAGTGAATTTTCAACCAGTTCAGATGTATGTGTTCTTTTAGATTCTTAGTCCTTAAGCACGGTGCATATGTAAATACGCTCACTCAGATAAAAATGGCGACTTGTACACGTGTGATGTAAGTATGACGCATGCGCACAATACTTCAAATGATGAAACTTGATTGGATGACTAAAGGGCGAGAAAGTGAGATTGCGACACTTCACAAATGTCGCGATCTCGCGTTCTCGTGCTTTTGTGCCAATTGCCCATACAGTTCTATGTAACGATTTTCAAAAACACGAGAACGCGAGAACGCGAGATTGCGACGATTTTCTTGACAAATCTCGCGATCTCGCGTTCTCGTGCTTTTGTGCCAATTGCCCATACAGTTCTATGTAACGATTTTCAAAAACACGAGAACGCGAGATTGCGACATTTGACAAATCTCGCGATCTCGCGTTCTCGCGTTTTTCTGCCAATTGCCCATACAGTTCTATGTAACGATTTTCAAAACACGAGAACGCGAGATTGCGACATTTGACAAATCTCGCGATCTCGCGTTCTCGCGTTTTTCTGCCAATTGCCCATACAGTTCTATGTAACGATTTTCAAAAAACACGAGAACGCGAGATTGCGACATTTGACAAATGTCACGATCTCGCGTTCTCGCGTTCTCGTGCTTTTGTGCCAATTGCCCATACAGTTCTATGTAACGATTTTCAAAAACACGAGAACGCGAGAACGCGAGATTGCGACATTTGACAAATCTCGCGATCTCGCGTTCTCGTGCTTTTGTGCCAATTGCCCATACAGTTCTATGTAACGATTTTCAAAAACACGAGAACGCGAGATTGCGACACTTGACAAATCTCGCGATCGCGAGTTCTCGCGATCTCGCGTTTTTCTGCATATTACCTTTACAGTCATATTGAACCGGGATGACGGGTAGCTCAGTCGTCTGAGGCGTGGCAATGGAGTTGCGTCCCTTGAGCGTGCCAGAAACCTATGTTGGTGGGTTTCATCCTGTATCGAACTTACAAGCCATGACATAACTGAAAGATAAATACAGTTGAAAGGCGTGTTAAGCCAAACTCACTCATTTATTCAGAGCAATGCACGTACCCCGGGTTGTGAATGGGGGTTTATTTCCAATATTAGCATGCCGAGCTTCTGAAGCTAAGGCCGCAATAAATTTAAACACAAAGTTTGATTAATTTCTATAAAAAACATGGGAGACGGGAAGAATATTAATTTACATTTTTATTTTTTTACTTTGTACAACTACTGTCGAAGGATTCGATTCACATGTATCATGCATGTTCAGTAGGGCTGCGTTTGTGGAGTATTTCATCAAATAAAGAAAGTAGGAATGTAACAGGGATGAATTATTATATTATTAATATCATAGGATAATTATATTTATATAGCGCACCTATCCACGCAATATCAATTTCAACTCCCTTGGGAGTATACAACTCTTACTGCGTCTAGGCGCACCGAGTTTATTGTGACTTTCTCATCCTAACGAGGTACCCATTTCCAGCTGTGTGGACAGGGACACATAGTTCACAGCACCTTGATGTACCCGCAACTAGGTGTTTGCACGTATTCATGTGGCCACCATATGGTCATATACCAATGGATTTGTGGGTTCTTTTAAGTGCACGGGGTTGTGTACTGTACACTAGGGGTTGTGACAGCACAGAAAGAGTCTGCAGACAAAGTTGACTGCAAGGTTTTTACACCCGGTCACAGATGGGCTCGATCCCGACACCTCAACCTCGCTAGATCACTAGCCGGCGCTTTAGCCAGTTGTTTCACATGTGTTTCACTGAGTGAGTGAGTTTAGTTTTACGCCGCTCTCAGGTACATGGCGGCGGTCTGCAAATAATCCATTCTGTACAAGACAATCCAGTGATCAACATCAATCTGCGCCATTTGGAACAGATGACATGTGTCAACGAGCCTGACCACCCGATCCCGTGCGTGGCCTCCTACGACAAGCATGGGTTGCTGAAGATACATTCGAACCCGGACCTCCATGTATGTCTTTGTGTTTCATGTACAGTTCTGTTTCACAATTTGGTCAGAATTAAAGGTTAGTTATTATACATTTTAATTGTTACATACATAGTAAATTAAACCCTAACATTAATCATTACACAAAATAGGTATAAATATGCCCATGATAAACAAAATAAAAGTGAATACACAGTATACTTTTTAACATGTATGAATGTGCTCATGGTTTGCTTTCTATATGTCTAGTGAATATCTAGTGCTGGCTAGTAGTTGTTGTTTGGTAACTATTTTCTGCATCATGTAAGATTGATATATCTCATCTACCATGTACATTGTATGTACTTGACAAAGATTGCATGTGATCAATGTGTGGTACCTATATGGGATTATTGCATGCGTTGACTGTCCGGCTGCTGGATGTGCAGACACACTCTCGGGTAACCCACAGGATAGGTTTCTTTGAACAGTATCTATTGTATATTTTATTATTATACCATGTATTATTATAAGTGTTTATGCCAACACTCATTTGGTATATCACTGTAAACATGTGATCACGTAAGTAACCTGTGTGATATTGCATCGCATAATACCTGTATATGATTGTTGATAGGCACATTTATGCACTATATTTATTATGATGACATGTTCTTCAGATGTGATTTTATGTTGTGTATATCGTGTATATTATTGTTATTACAGGGTGTCTTCTTCCACCATGATATGGAAATAAACAGATATCTCACTCATAGCCAGTAGTCTGTGGTTAATAACACATTGAAACTCCACTATATCATGTCTGCCAGAGAAACACAAATATTATTGGTACAAATGCATTTTTATTTTTTTTCATGTAAGACAGGGTGTTTTGTATAGAGGCGGGAGCGGAAGAAAATCTATTAATTAATATGTTATGGCCTAAACTAGCGAATATAATGTCGAGTACGAAAAAATCATCAGACATGTTCATTTTAGCCGACTGCTACAAATTGGTCTGTTAGAATTTTGTTTGAATGAATATGCTAGCCGTATATGATATTGCATCATGGAGAAACTCACTGGTCTGTGATTATTTGTATACCTGACGGTATAGCTGCGAAATGATGCGGCTTTAAGCACTATTTTATCACTCACTGACGTTGATATTTTTTCCAGCTTCCGGACACTTTCATGTTTTCACTTTTATTGGACATTCATATTCACAATTTCGTTTCTTCAATAAAACTTTACATGTTGAGGATTTTTAAGGACATAGGAAATTGTAACAACGGGAACGGACTTATATACTCTACCCTACACATCCTGTATGTAAATTACAGGGTAGCATTTTCAAGCGGGCGGTGGGGTAGCCTAGTGGTTAAAGCGTTGGCTCGTCACGCCGAAGACCCGGGTTCGAATCCCCACATGGGTACAATTTGTGAAGCCCATTTCTGGTGTCCCCCGCCGTGATGTAGCTGGAATATTGCTTAAAGCGGCGTAAAGCCAAATTCAGTCAGTCAGTCATTTTCAAGCTATGTGATAATTTTGCTAAATGCTAGTTGGGAAGTGAAAAGCATGAAAGAAGCATGACCACAGCAGTACTTAGATACGCATGCGCCTTGACCTTTATGATATTACGCATGCGCAACGACAGCGTCTGGAAACGCGAGATCGCGAGATCGCGAGAACGCGAGAAAATGCAATGTCGCATTCTCGCGTTCTCGCGATTTCGTGTTTTATGGCCATATCTGGCAAGTCGAGATAGCGAGAATGCGAGATTTGACAGCATGTACAAATCTCGCAATCTCGCGATCTCGACTTTGACAAAAGTGCTATGTACCAAAACACGAGAATGCGAGATCGCGAGAACGCGAGATTTTGGCCAAATCTCGCGATCTCGCGATCTCGCATTCTCGTACTTTTTGGCATTTTTAGCTTGTTTCGAAAGGTCGAGATCGCGAGAATGCGAGATCGCGAGAATGTCCCTTACAGTATTCCATACAAAACGCCTCAACTATCTCTTGACCACAGCCTTGCCTCAGACCGCCTCCGTGGTGTAGTGGTTAGAGCGTCCGCCCTGAGCGGAAGGTCGCGGAGTTCGATCCCCGACCGCGTCATACCAAAAGACGTTAAAATATGGTACTTGTTGGTCCCTGCCTGGCGCTCGGCATTAATGGGTACAACAAGGACTGGTCGGCTCGGAGTCAGTATACTGTGTCTGAGTGGGGTATCCATGCTTCACTGCGGCATGGTATCTCAGTGGGCTAGCACTATAAAACCAGCTTAAGTCTCGGCTAGAACAAGCAGCCGCACATACACATACACGCGCGCATGCACGTCGTCATATGAGCTTGAAATATTCTCAAGCACGACGTTAAATCCAATTTCACCTCACCTCTCACCTTACATCCTTGCCTCCCACGTCTCCTCCAAACGTCAAAGCCACCCCTCCACTATCTTGACCTCAACCCCTTGTCCAGTCCCTCCCCGTAGACTTGTGCACCCTTCAAGAGTGGTTCAATTTCCTTTAGTATGACGCACACACCTTCCCCACCCCTACAGCCTGTCCCCTGACAAGCTCACACTCCCACCACTACTAATCAGGGCCCCGTTTCACAAAGCTCTCGTAAGCCCTAAGATCTCGTAACTTTTATCGTAACATTCCTAATACTCCCTATGTGACCCAGATATTAGGCTTACGAGAGCTTTGTCGAAACGGGGCTCCAGGACCTCCTACCACTGCTAATCAGGGCCTCCTACCACTACTAATCAGGGCCTCCTACCACTGCTAAATCAAGGCCTCCTACCACTACTAATCAGGGGTCTCCTACCACTACTAATCAGGGCCTCCTACCACTACTAATCAGGGCCTCCTACCACTGCTAATCAGGGCCTCCCTACCACTACTAATCAGGACCTCCTACCACTACTAATCAGGGCCTCCTACCACTACTAATCAGGGTCTCCCACCACTGCTAATCAGGGTCTCCCTACCACTACTAATCAGGGCCTCCTACCACTGCTAATCAGGGCCTCCTACCAATCCAGGGCCTCCCTACCACTACTAATCAGGGCCTCCCTACCACTACTAATCAGGGCCTCCTACCACTGCTCATCAGGACCTCCTACCACTGCTAATCAGGACCTCCCCACCACTACTAACAGCAACGCTCGTTTACGGCGTGTCCACCCAGTATTGTTTCCGGGCAGGTACAGTCAATGTTTTACGACATCCATTAATAAACATACCGGTCAGATGTTCCCCCATTGACACACCCTGTGTCTAAACCCGTCGCGAACCCATGTTCCACATAGCCTCTTTTCTTATCATGGCCATAATACACATGTTCGGGGCCAGTCCACAACGAAGCCCACGGTACGCCTTCAGAGATCCTGTTCGATGGGAGAAGGGTTGTGTCCGTAGCCCCTCTCTGGACTAAACTCCTCATGTGTGTCATGGCCGTCAAACACTGTTCCTCGAGAACAACTCCTGGCTCAAGACCAGCGTGGACAATAATGGCTTGTAAAGAAGGAATGCATATCGTATACGGAAGACGTTTCAAATAATCTAAATCCCCTTCATCAAATTTCCGGATGTATTGGTATCGTTCCGGTAAATCATACCCGGGGTCCTTTATAAGCCGGGCATGTTCACGTAGAGTTGTCTCCTCATGATTTCCACGAACGGAGTAACAGTCTGTTCTTCGGAGAAGCTTGACCACCTCTTTGGACTTAGGGCCCCTGTTGACCAGATCCCCCACAAACACAAACAACGCTGTGTCCTCCAATGTCCGAGCTTTGTCCATCAGTTCTGTGAGTTCATCGTAGCAGCCATGGACGTCGCCGATAATGAAGACAGCTCGGTCCTGTATTGTGGCCTTGTCCAGAGTAAGATGGCAGACTTCCGGTAGCGGGAGACCATATCGACTTGGCCGCTCATGACCCTTCTTCCGGTCAGTCATGTTAGGTGACAGCGACCTGCAAACAAAACGAAGTGGATGCATAAATAACAATTTCTGAAATCCACTACACTCAGGTATTGGGTAGATTACGTGGTTGTTCAACTGAGTGTGTTAGGACAAACACAGTGATCAACAGCACGAGCATTAATCTACGCAACTGGAATACGACGACATGTCAACCACACAGCGAGTCTGACCACCAGACCCCGTTAGTCGCCCCTTACGACAAGCATGGGTTACTGAAGATCAATATTCTAACCAGGATCTTCACGGGTTACGACCTCAAGTGCATCATAAATTTATAATGAAAAATTTATATTTTATCAGTGCAGATGACCAACATGACAAACTTGATATAGTCCGATAGTTATGCAAATGAGGTCATTTAGCAAGACATTTATGCGAGTAACGTTATATGTCGCTTTCGGCTTTAACCACTAGGCTACCCCGCCGCCCCAATAAGCCAGTGATGATCCGAGTCTTCATCAAACCATGCGATTAAGAGGCGACTATCGGACTCGACTAGTTAAGCATGGACATGGTTGATGAATGCAATCCCAAGACCTTGCTGACCGATGTCACATACCTGGGGTATCGGTGACTGTGCGGCGCTCAACAAAACGCGTGTAAGAAACAGTTTTGATAATCAACCAGATCATGTCAATACCATTAGCTTTCAAGAATTAGTTGCTGTTTTCGTTTCTTCAGCATCATTTCAGGCCGTTCAATGGAGAAGGCACCAAGTCTTCATTCAATGAAGCCATATCGCAGAATCAAAGCCGACACTCTAATCACTAGTCTTCCCCAGCGTCCAAAACGTCAGTCATAAAAACATCCGGAACTTGTTGCTTGTCAATAACAAAACACTTCCTCTAACCGTTCAGGGGCGGTGGGGTAGCCTAATGGTTAAAGCGCTGGCTCGTCACGCCGAAGACCCGGGTTCGAATCCCCACATGGGTACAATGTGTGAAGCTCATTTCCGGTGTCCCCCGCCGTGATGTTGCTGGAATATTGCTAAAAGCGGCGTAAAACCAAACTCAGTCAGTCAGTCAGTCTAACCGTTCACATGGCTACGTGAGATGTTTTTAAATACTATTCACCTGTATTCATGAAACATGTAAAGAAATAGACATATTTAAACACCAAACACTGGATTGCCTGATCCAGACACGATTCTTTACAGGCCGCCCTCATATAGCTGGGATATTGTTGAATGTGGCGTTAATCAACACACACTGGATTGCCTGATGGTCCAGACACAATTCTTTACAGGCCGCCCTCATATAGCTGGGATATTGCTGAATGTGGCGTTAATCAACAAACACTGGATTGTCGCCCACGATTCTGTACAGGCCGCCCTCATATAGCTGGGATATTGCTGAATGTGGCGTTAATCAACAAACACTGGATTGCCTGATCCAGACACAATTCTTTACAGGCCGCCCTCATATAGCTGGGATATTGCTGAATGTGGCGTTAATCAACAAACACTGGATTGTCTGGTCCAGACACGATTCTGTACAGGCCGCCCTCATATAGCTGGGATATTGCTGGGTTATTGCTGGGATATTGCTGGGATATTGCTGAATGTGGCGTTAATCAACAAACAACCGAAAAAGCAAATGTTACAAAAGATCGCTGGATTTCAAGATTTTAAGTTCATGTATCCCGCGAATAACGACCGAATTCTCACCTGACTGTCTGTGTCAAATGATTAAATGTACTGGCAGGACATATCAATATGCCCTCAAGGCTATCTTTGATGATCTGATACAACTGAGAAAAGGCCGAGTACAAACACCACTCTTGGTGAGATCCATACATATCTTTGAACGCCGTTATAATACCAATATATTGAACAATGACCTTATTGTTTGGACTAACCAATACACACCTGCTCAAAACTTAGACAGAATATGTTTTGTTTCAGGTCTCATTTAGACTAACGCTTAGTCTCTGAAAATATGTAATTTTGATAGAAGTAAATATCGCCATTTAAATTGGAAAGGAGTCCCAGTGAGACGGGTGTTGCAGAACTGAAAAATCTAGACTTGCTTCACTTAGGGCTTTAGCATTGCAGAAATCTCTGGACGAAAGGCATACAAATGTGACACCGAGACTGCGTGAGACAGATAGACTATGGGAAAGGCAAAGTGTGAAGTGGGCTGGTGTAAAGTAAAGTAGGTTTTAAAGAAGGCAGATATAAAGTGAAGTAAGGCGTATAGAAGGCTGGTGTAAAGTAAGGTGTGAAGTAGGCTGGTGTAAAGTGAAGTAACGTGTAAAGTAGGCTGATGTAAAGTGAAGTAAGATGTAAGTTTCCTTGTGTAAAGAAGAATTGAAGCAGGCTGGTGCAAAGTAAAGTAAGGTGTAAAGTAGGCTGATGTAAAGTGAAGTAAGGTGTAAGTATCCTTGTGTAAAGAAGAGTTTAAACAGGCTGGTGCAACGTAAAGTGAGGTGTAAAGTAGATTGATGTAAAGTGAAGTAAGGTGTAAAGTAGGCAGGTGTAAAGTGAAGTAACGTCTAAAGTAGGCTGATGTAAAGTGACGTAAGGTGTAAAGTAGGCTGATGTAAAGTGACGTAAGGTGTAAGTATCCTTGTGTAAAGAAGAGTTTAAGTAGGCTGGTGCAAAGTAAAGTGAGGTGTAAAGTAGATTGATGTAAAGTGAAGTAAGGTGTAAAGTAGGCAGGTGTAAAGTGAAGTAACGTCTAAAGAAGTAGGCTGATGTAAAGTGACGTAAGGTGTAAGTATCCTTGTGTAAAGAAGAGTTTAAGCAGGCTGGTGCAAAGTAAAGTAAGGTGTAAAGTAGGCTGATGCAAAGTGAAGTAAGGTGTAAAGTAGGTTGATGTAAAGTGAAGTAAGGTGTAAAGTAGGCAGGTGTAAAGTGAAGTAACGTCTAAAGTAGGCTGATGTAAAGTGACGTAAGGTGTAAGTATCCTTGTGTAAAGAAGAGTTTAAGCAGGCTGGTGCAAAGTAAAGTAAGGTGTAAAGTAGGCTGATGTAAAGTGAAGTAAGGTGTAAAGTAGGTTGATGTAAAGTGAAGTGCTGTAAGTTTCCTTGTGTAAAGAAGAGTTTAAGAAAGTAAAAGTAAAAGGTAAAGTAGGCTGATGTAAAGTGAAGTAAGGTGTAAAGTAGGTTGATGTAAAGTGAAGTAAGGTGTAAAGTAGGCTGGTGTAAAGAGAAGTATACACAAAGTAACAACTATCCATATAACGTAGGGAAATACGGAAATATTCCCGTCAGATGGTCACAAAGATATATACTGTTATCTTGGTTACTAAGACAATACTGTAATGATATACTGATATCTTGGTTACTAAGACAATACTGTAATGATATACTGATATCTTGGTTACTAAGACAATACTGTAATGATATACTGATATCTTGGTTACTACGACAATACTGTAATTATATACTGATATCTTGGTTACTACGACAATACTGTAATGATATACTGATATCTTGGTTACTAAGACAATACTGTAATAATATACTGATATCTTGGTTACTAAGACAATACTGTAATGATATACTGATATCTTGGCTACTAAGACAATACTGTAATGATATACTGATATCTTGGTTACACAGACAATATTGTAATAATATACTGATATCTTGGTTACTAAGACAATATTGTAATGATATACTGATACCTTGGTTACTAAGACAATACTGTAATAATATACTGATATCTTGGTTTACTAAATACTGTAATGATATACTAAGACAATACTGATACCGTGGTTACTAAGACAATATTGTAATAATATACTGATACCGTGGTTACTAAGACAATATTGTAATAATGTACTGATACCTTGGTTACTAAGAGTGAGTGAGTTTAGTTTTACGCCGCACTCAGCAATATTCCAGCTGTATGGCGGCGGTCTGTAAATAATCGACCAGACAATCCAGTGATCAACAGCATGAGCTTCGATCTGCGCAATTGGGAACCGATGACATGTGTCAACCAAGCCAGCGAGACTGACCACCAGATCCCGTTAGTCGCCTCTTACGACAAGCATGGGTTACCGAAGGCTCATTCTAACCCAGACCTTCGGTTACTAAGACATATTATTGCAATGGTATACTGATATATTGTTAACCAAGACAATATTGTAACACAATACTGACCAAAGAAGTATTTTTATAAAGATCGTCGTCTCAATTGCCAAACAAATATCGTAATAATATCATGATATCGCAGTTACCAAGCAAATATGAGACAAATAACAATATCGTATTCTGACGTACTGTTAGTCAAACAAGTACTGTTATAACAGATCGCCGCCTGATTGCCAAACAAGTACTGTTATAACAGATCGCCGCCTGATTGCCAAACAAGTACTGTTATAACAGATCGCCGCCTGATTGCCAAACAAGTACTGTTATAACAGATCGCCGCCTGAATTATAAACAAGTACTGTTATAATAAAGATCGCCGCCTGAAAAAACAAACACTGTTATAACAGATCGCCGCCTGAATGCCAAACAAGTACTGTTATAACAGATCGCCGCCTGATTGCCAAACAAGTACTGTTAAATAGATCGCCGCCTGATTGCCACAAGTACTGTTATCGCCGCCTCCTGATTGCCAAACAAGTACTGTTATAACAGATCGCCGCCTGATTGCCAAACAAGTACTGTTATAACAGATCGCCGCCTGATTGCCAAACAAGTACTGTTACTGTAATAGATCGCCGCCTGATTGCCAAACAAGTACTGTTATAACAGATCGCCGCCTGATTGCCAAACAAGTACTGTTATAACAGATCGCCGCCTGATTGCCAAACAAGTACTGTTATAACAGATCGCCGCCTGATTGCCAAACAAGTACTGTTATAATAGATCGCCGCCTGATTGCCAAACAAGTACTGTTATAACAGATCGCCGCCTGATTGCCAAACAAGTACTGTTATAACAGATCGCCGCCTGATTGCCAAACAAGTACTGTTATAACAGATCGCCTCCTGATTGCCAAACAATCGTATTGCTGTTATAACAGATCGCCGCCTGATTGCCAAACAAGTACTGTTATAACAGATCGCCTCCTGATTGCCAAACAAAGTACTGTTATAACAGATCGCCGCCTGATTGCCAAACAAAAGTACTGTTATAACAGATCGCCGCCTGATTGCCAAACAAGTACTGTTATAATAGATCGCCGCCTGATTGCCAAACAAAAACTGCTTATAACAGATCGCCGCCTGATTGCCGCCGCCTGATTGCCAAACAAGTACTGTTATAATAGATCGCCGCCCTGATTGCCAAACAAGTACTGTTATAATAGATCGCCGCCTGATTGCCAAACAAGTACTGTTATAACAGATCGCCGCCTGATTGCCAAACAAGTACTGTTATAACAGATCGCCGCCTGATTGCCAAACAAGTACTGTTATAACAGATCGCCGCCTGATTGCCAAACAAGTACTGTTATAACAGATCGCCGCCTGATTGCCAAACAAGTACTGTTATAACAGATCGCCGCCTGATTGCCAAACAAGTACTGTTATAATAGATCGCCTCCTGATTGCCAAACAAGTACTGTTATATAAGATCGCCTGATTGCCAAACAAATTACTGTTATAATAGATCGCCTCCTGATTGCCAAACAAGTACTGTTATAACAGATCGCCGCCTGATTGCCAAACAAGTACTGTTATAACAGATCGCCGCCTGATTGCCAAACAAGTACTTACATTTGTTATAATGCCGCCTATTGCCAAACAAATAATAATAGTCGCCTCCTGATTGCCAAACAAGTACTGTTATAATAGATCGCCGCCTGATTGCCAAACAAGTACTGTTATAATAGATCGCCGCCTGATTGCCAAACAAGTACTGTTATAACAGATCGCCGCCTGATTGCCAAACAAGTACTGTTATAATAGATCGCCGCCTGATTGCCAAACAAGTACTGTTATAATAGATCGCCGCCTGATTGCCAAACAAGTACTGTTATAATAGATCGGTGCCTTATTGCCAAACAAGTACTGTTATAATAGATCGCCGCCTGATTGCCAACAGATCGATCGCCGCCTGATTGCCAAACAAGTACTGTTATATTGCCAAACAGATCGCCGCCTGATTGCCAAACAAGTACTGTTATAATAGATCGCCGCCTTATTGCCAAACAAATACTGTTATAATAGATCGCCGCCTGATTGCCAAACAAGTACTGTTATAATAGATCGCCGCCTGATTGCCAAACAAACAAGTACTGTTATAATAGATCGCCGCCTGATTGCCAAACAAATTACTGTTATAATAGATCGCCGCCTGAGTTGCCTTATAATGATCCAAACAAACAAGTACTGTTATAATAGATCGCCGCCTGATTGCCAAACAAGTACTGTTATAATAGATCGCCGCCTGATTGCCAAACAAATACTGTTATAATGGATCTGTTATAATAGATCGCCGCCTGATTGCCAAACAAGTACCGCCTATAACAGATCATTAGCCGCCTGATTGCCAATCAAATATCGAAAACAAGTATACCTGACATATATGGGTTCCGTGGGTTTTCGGGAACAGGTTATCTTTCTGTAACCATCCCAGTCTCCAGAATAATACTTGTATGACCTCTGACCACAGCTATAGAGTTCTATTGGCACCAATGTAACCCGTCGGAGAGACTCTTTAAAGAAATGTTGAATTACAACTGATTTCATATGCAGCTTCCAAAACACTTGTACATTGCAGCAGCATCATAATCATCTGTTAGTCACATACGAGCTCTCGAAACGTTGCCTATTTCCATGCCACCAAATCGATACATCTCGCCGCGCTGCACAAGTTGACTGAAATACGAAGGCCATGCTATATTTACCATATTCCTCCTGTCTGCCAATCTGACCAAGCCAGCGCCTGCTCTTGCCTCAATGTACAAGCCTTGCAGCGAAATTGACAACACGTGGAATATCTATAATGTATGGGAATGTCGTTCAGCTGATGTTATGTACACTCCTCATGTTGAACTCGACAGAAATAGACCACGACCCTCCTGGTAACGCTGCTGGCGGTAGGTAGAACAAGGCTAAGTAATGTTAATAAATTTAGGTAAGAGGGTCCATTATGTTTATTGACGGAGTAGGGGGCGTGTCTACTGTCTTGTCATTGTTGTTTATGGTCAGTGGGGATATTCACGATCACGAGGGTTCATTGTTTTCGTTATCCGAGGATGTGACCTAAAGAAGGAAAATAATATGATAAATCAGTTTTAGTTTAGGGAAATGGAAATTATCTTACGATGTACTGAATATATTGACTTGTTTGTCGAGAGCCTGTTTGTCAATGGACGAGGAAAGTAGGACACACTGACACACATTCTAACATTATTTTATCGTTACCACATTTACATACGTAAACAACTGGGTGGTATTTGCTAAAAGAAGAGTTTCGTTAAGTTGAGCCTCGAGGCGAGAAAGCCGAGCGCAACACGTGAGAGGAAATTTTACAGCGATATCCACTTCTCAATTCACATTGAAAACAGAACCGTGAAGGGGTTCGAGCTGGTCTTCAGGAACCCGTGCTTCTCGAAAGATGCTACTTGCTCGCTGACTTGGTTGACACATGGCTTCGTATCCCAATTGTATAGATCGATGCTTATGATGTTGATTGTCTGGTCCAGACTCGATTATTTACGGACCGCCGCCACAAATCTTGAATATTGCGGAATGCGGCGTTGTTTAACGAACAAACAAAGCATACACATTGAAGTGGGCGAGTCAGTGAGTTGGGTTTTACGCCGCTTTTAGCAATATTCCAGCAATATCACGGCGGGGGACATCAGAAATGGGCTTCACACTGAGTGAGTGAGTGAGTTTAGTTTTACGCCGCTTTTGGCAATAGTCCAGCAATATCACGGAGGGGGACACCAGAAAGGGGCTTCACGCATTGAGCGAGTGAGTTTAGTTTTACGCCGCTTTTAGCATTATTCCAGCAATATCACGGCGGGTAACACCATAAATGGACTTCGCGCATTGAGTGAGTGAGTTTAGTTTTACGCCGCTTTTGTCGATATTCCAGCAATATCACGGCGGGGGACACCTGAAATGGGCTTCACAAATTGTACCCACGTGGGGAATTAAAAGTGGGGAATTGTCTCCACGAGTGAGTATGGTTTAACGCCGCTTATGACTGGTGTAAAGTAAACCAAGATAAAACGTAGGCTGATGTAAGGTACGATGTACAGCAGGCTTGTGTAAAGTAAAGTAAGGAATAAAGTAGGCTGGTGTAAAGTGAAATAAGATGTAAAGTAGGCTTAGGAAAAGTAAAGTAGGCTGATGTAAAGTAAGATGTACAACAGGCTTGTGTAAAGTCAAGTAGACTGGTGTAAAGTAAGATGCAATTTAGGCTTGTGTAAAGTAAAGTAAAATGTAAAGTAGGCTGGTGCAACGTTTAGTAAGGTGTGAAATAGGCGTGTGTAAAGTGAAATATGATGTAAAGTAGGCTGGTGTAAGTTCATCCTCCATAATCTCCAGGATATACGTTACGATCACTCTCCACAATACCATGGATGCATCCACGGCTTGGCCCGATAATTATATTACCTCCCTTTGCTGGATCCGCATTCTCACAGTAGCCGATCTGCTGAGCCGCCGTTACATCCGAGCCTGCCAGTGTCAACAAAGATAGCGGTCGCAGTCGCAAAGGTTTGTTGGCAGTACCACTCAGATTTTGGGGGGAAATCATACAGACAAATTGAAAGATCTGAAACTTTCAAAAAATATCAAAGAACTCCTTCTACATCTTTCAAAGTACCTCAGCATCAAATGTGTTGCCAAGTTTAAACGGTTAGATAATTTAAGAAGCGAAAGTGAGTTGTGATTGGTTCGCTCAACTTCCCAGCGTAGACACCTGATTGGATAAAAAGCCAACCAAGGGAGGTAATAAAATCATCGGGCCAAGCCGTGGATGCATCGAGGGTTGAGTGGAGAGTGATCGTAACGTACACCCTGGAGATTATCGAGGATGGTGTAAGTTAAATAAGGTGTAAAGTAGGAATCGATGGTTTGGTTAGAGATGAAGTACAGTTTGGAATCATTGTGAGATAATGATAAATAAAATTTCATTAAATTTATTCCTATCACAGAGAGCAGATTGGAGCACCGGCCAGTACAGGTCCAAATGTCGTAATTACATTTCTGTGAATACACCGTTATTGATGCTGTGCAATTAACAAGTGACTGTTAGACTGACAGTCAAAATATAGTCTTAAATATATAGACTAACACGCGAATCCTTTTATTATCCACTGCGTCGTTACATACCGTTCCGTATCCTATCGTATCGTATAGCATCGTATGTTATCGTATCACATCGCATGCTATCATATATAATCTAATATTACACGCTGGGTCACTGAGTTGAATTGAACTTGACATTCTGATTGCATGCCATGGACGTCTCATTATACACAGACCTATACCTGTTTCAACATCACTGAACCCCAACTTAAACATATAGAAAACTGTTTGTGAACGGCTGTATTGTTCAGAGAAATATTTAGAAATATAGAAAACAGTTTGTGAACAGCTGTAGCCTTCAGAGAAATATTTAGAAATATAGAAACAGTTTGTGAACAGCTGTTGCCATCAGAGAAATAATTAGAAATATGAACGGCTGTAGTGTTCAGATAAACAGTTCGCTGTAGTTTTAACCATGGTTCGACTCTATTCCCGTTGGAATACGTGACAATATTAAAACTATACAACGAAACCCCCTTAATCCGGGCTTCCAAAACAGATACCGCGTGTGTGAGATGAAATCATCTCTCAATGATATATGGCGACAATGAACTCGCTTGACAAACAAACGAAAACATGAGTCTCATTAAGCAATGCAAACAATTACAATTACCTACTTTTCAGCCGATACTAATTTTCTCGTGTGAAAGAGCAAAGAGACACTACAAACAACTATGGTTACACTAAATTCCAATTCCTTGCTTCATAAGAAAACGGTATTTACAAATAAATTTTAATTTTAAAGCTTGAAAAAAATCGTATTTCTATCTTCTATATCGAGGTTAAGGCAGCATGTCGTTTATTAAGACGTCACAGACTGCCCCTGTTTGAAGAGGTCGTACAATGATTCACAACAATTCATCTGGCTCACTGGTTACACCTGTGTTGTTTTCCTTTCGCTTATTACATTTATTTTTGTAACGTACAATATGTCTGAGATGATATCCGTAACGCACAATGTGATTGATATAATATCAAGTCCGTACCAGACCGCCAAACTTTTCTAGCGGCAGAGCCTCGTTTTGAGATTTCCACGATCTCCCGATTTCCGATTGTCACAGCACGCTGTACAACAGAGCACACTGCACGACGTGTTTGCAAGGATTAGAACGAGCGTAGAGTTGCAATATAAAAGTGGTTAGATGTATCAAATAATATTGATCAGTATTTATACATCCAGTTGAATGAGTTGGTCTCAAAATTCTGGACTGGTTATTGTACTAAGTTGTGCAATAGGACGGAACCCAGTCAGCAGGAACGAGACTGCGGTGTAATCAATGTTTTAAGCTGGTTCCCGGATCCTAACTTGCACCAAAGCTATTGCGATATGCGAGACGGGGCCCAGCTTATCAATGTTTTGACTTGGTTTGCTGAACATTGTAGCGTCATCGATTACCATGATGTCACAATCAAATGACGTCACTAATATCTCGGTCAGTGAAGTTTGCTATTCGTACTTTTAAGCTTAAGGTACAGTTTATTGCTATTTACAAAGTTAAAAAGAACTTGGAAAATTGAAGTTAAATATAATCACACTTCATGTCTTTTGATATTGAACACAGTCAAGCACCCTTGTGTCAAAGTTGAATAGTCCAGTCATCCTGGTAAGATTCTGACCTAACCCACCACAAATTGCAACAGAAATGATTTCAACTGTTTTAAGACCATGAACCATTCCTTTATAACATACAAAAAGTCTAGGAAAATCTCAGTGGTGGAACAAGGTCAAATTCGACCCTCAAGGTCATAGGGGTCATCTTCGCTTTCGAAATCTTAGATGGAAATGCTAACTTTTTTTATTATCTACTCAATTGTGTCATGTTATATATCAAATAAAAGCTCTGTTTACAGGCTTTTCAAAGATATATGATTTAATAGGATTAGCCTCATCATATTTGTTCTATCTTTAAAAAACGTACCGAAAATTATGAAAATTGTGTACCGACATCCACATGAATATGTATGCTACGATTATGCCCAAAATATCATTCTTCAATTGTGTGACAGTTTTTGCATGAAGAAATATTGTGATGGATCTGTATCAACCAATAGTCTATCCAAATAATAATGAAAAGATTTGACGATCAATGGTGTGTGTGTGTGTGTGTGTGCGTGTGTGTGTGTGTGCGTGCGCGCGCGCGCGCGAGCGTGCGTGCGTGCGTGCGTGCGTGCGTGCGTGCGTGCGTGTAAAGCGCCAGAGGTTCATGATCCAGTAAGCTTAAGGTGCCGGGATCGAGCCCACCTGTGACCGGGCGGATACAGCAACGTGCATTAAAACTTGGACAAAGTACTGTCACTATGTGTCCCAGTCCACCCAGTTGTTAATGGGTACCTCGGTAGGATGGGAAAACAACATAAACTAGGTATTAGCCTCATCATATTTGTTTTATTTTTAAAAAACCGTTCTGAAAAATATGAAAATCGTTTCAGACATCCACATGTATGTGTATGCTACGATTATGTAAAAATATATATCTGCTAAAAACAATGTTTTATTAATTTTAAAACATTGTACTTTTATATTTAAAAAAATAAAAACAAACATTTAGAAATGCACCTGAGATGCTATAAAAAAATATTTTTTTAATTCACTAACATTGATTGACATGAGCCCAAGTGACTTGTCACCACACAAGCCATGGAAAACAATGCAACACCTATCGTCACTTTTGATT